TTTTTTTTTTAAATTTATTCTTGAACATCAGTGTTTGTTGTTGTTTTGTTTTGAGACAGAATCTTGCTATGTAGCTTTTGCTGGCCTGGAACTTGCTAAGTAGACTGGCTGACCTGAACTCACATAGACCTGCCTGCCTCTACCTCTGAAGTACTAGAATTAAAGGCATGTGCCAATGTATCCTGCTCAGTTATTTATTTAATTCTCTAATTGTACTAAGAATATATGACATAAGCTCTTTCTTAACACATTTTTAAGTTACAATGCAGGATTGTTAACTTTAGGCAGGATGATAATGATATATAACGCAGACTTGTAAAATTCACTGAATGGCAGGTCCTTATCTTTCTCTCCTGGAAACCAATATATTCAAGTGCCTGCTTCTATGGGCTGAGGTATTGTAAAAGGACATGCATATACACAAAGAGCACACATTTATTTTATCTGTTCATGCAAAAATAAACATTTAGGTTGTTTCCACATCTTAGCTATTGTAAATAATGCTTATAGTACCTTTTAAGTTTCATATGTGTCTACTTAATATCACAAAGATGTATACTTCTGATTTTTATGAGTAGTCATAGTGAGTGCTTCTCTACTTGTGAGCTATAAGTAGGCACCCAGTCCCCCATGTCGTTAGCATTACCCACCCTTTAAAACAGCTAAAATAACCCCTGAGGATATGACATTGTCTTTTATTGCACCTCTTTATCTTACAGAGAATTTTAATTCCCATTTACTGTGATTTTTTTTTAATACGACTACTTTAGTGCCTAGAAGTATGGGATATACAAGGCAGCTATTTCCTCATGTTTTAAATTGAAATCCAGAGAGGTAGATATGTTACCCTACAAGTCAAGGACTAGAACTAGCCATTCTAAAACTTAAGTCTTTAGTATAGAGTTACTTTTACTCATTGCTTCTGGTCTTGGCGGTTAGCATAACACAGTAACAAATTAAAATGACCATTGCTGGAGCACCTGAATAAGATCTACATTTGCTTTTCTTGGTCCGGGCAGTAAGAAGACAGTAGTAATGGCATATGTGAATTACTATGAGTATGTACTTATTTAGATACTTTCCTGTGCATATGGTATGGTCAGAGCACCTGATTGTTTCATTTCACAGTGTGGTTTCCCTGCTGCACATTGTTGAGTACTCAAGAGTTTTATATGTAATGATGGTTGCATATAGAATATGCAAATCACTAAGTATTTTGATGGTTATTTTTCACACAAAAGATTCTGATTAAAAAATTTCAAGTTTTATTGCTATATGTTTGTCCACTAGAGTACAGTTTCTTTTCTTAAGATAGAACTAAATTAAGGGCATACAATTCTGAGACTTACTAGGAACTAACCCTAAAGGTTCCTTGTTAATTTCTTGGACTTTTTTCTTGAATGTGACATTGTATATGAACTCACTGTCTGGCAACACTGAAATATAATTTTCCAACTATTTTCTAATCTCCTTGTACTTTTGATTAAGAGCAGTTATAATGTTTTAGCAGTACCTAAAGGAGTATGTATGTAATGTTGTCCCCCAGTAGGCCTTTGCCTGTCTTTCTTTTTGCTTAGCTGTTAGCAACCAGCTGTGAAGGATTTAATTTGACACTTTCCCCTCTAAGACCCCCCAGTGTGAGTCATTCCTTCCACAGAAGTTCCTGTAGCCTAAATGTGCTGTTACTAATTTACCCCTCACTGTGCTTCAAGACAGAACATCTGCAAGGCTTTAAGTCCGTCCCTCTTCTCCCTCTGCCCTGTCACCATCACTGTCTAAATGTGTGCTCCAGTTGTTATGGTAGTAATTTCTTCTGCATATTGGTCTTCTGGCTCTTCTCATAACAGAACAATGCATTCTTAAAGTGCTTTTTTTTTTCTTTTTTCTCCCCCCCCCCCCCCCCCCGAGACAGGGTTTCACTATGTATCTCTGGCTGTCCTGGAACTCCCTATGTAGACCAGGCTGGCTTCAAACTCAAAGAGATCCTCCTGCCTCTGCCTCCTGAATGCTAGGATTAAAGGTGTGCATCACTATGCCTGGCTTTGTTTTTTTGTTTGTTTTTGTTTTTGTTTTTCTTAACTGGTAACTGACTATATAGAAAATTTGTATTTGGATTCTGTTTGTTCTTTAATAATAGATATGTACATCCAATGGAAACCCTTAACATAGGAAAATTTACATTTCTAACTTTTTAAAGATACCAGCATATTTTCTTATCAGGAAGCATGGAGAAGTAAGAAAGTGGAACACTACAGAATGGCCATGTATATGTTTCTAAGCCTATTAAAATTATTGTATTAACCTACTGAATTATTTAAAAAAGTCTACTGACATATTTAACAATAGAATATTGCTAAAACATTCGTTTTTATCTTCATTGTACAATACTTATGTGTTAAAAATAATATTTTCTTTATTTCTTAGATCTGTCAGTTTTTCTCTACATATATCTTAGATCTCTCAACTGTTCTATGCAGATGTTGCATATATGTATAAATTTAGAACATATGAAGAGTAGGCAAATTGGAACTTTGTGGTAGATTCAGTTATGAAATGTTTGTTTCTTAATTGGTCTGTGTCTCTGGGTAATGGATAATATTAAATCAGAAGTATACTGATCTTTGAATATGTGACTGGTTGTTTTTAGTTTACAGAAAAAACTTCAGCATGTACCAACAGCACCCCACCTTGATCAGGTAAAAATAAAATTTTATAAAATTTTCAAGTATCTCTTTCAACTAAGTTGATTCTACTTAGAATACTTTTTATTAGATCTCTTTCTAACATATTTATAGATTAGGTTTGCAGTTTTAGAAGTTTTACGTCTTTGGGTGTGTGCAATCTAGTTTAGCATGAAAAATTTTCACGTGTTAAGAAGCATTCTAAGCCTCCATGTTTCCTGATATTATAGAAAATCCTGTATTCAAGCTTATTTTGATGAGAAATTTTACCTAAATAAGACCCAGAGGTTCTATCTGCTTTCTGCTTAAGCTGAATTTAACTAATTGATTCGGGAGAAATAAAGGATGGCTTATTTAAATAAAACCTGACCTTGAGTTTTACCTTTAGTAGCACTATAAATTTGAGCTCTGTTTTTTTTGTGATTCCCCAAGATGATATTTAAGTTGCTGGGAACAAAGTAAATATGTTGTCTCAAAACTGTTTCTCCTAAGCAAGTCCTAGAGGGTAGAACTTTAGTGAAACTCTGTAGGGGAAGTTTAACCACGCCTGCTTAGGGGCTGGCTAAAGGTGTGCCTGACCACGCCTGTGAGGGTGTGGTCAGAGTGAGAGGTTCAGGTGGCTGGGTTGTGCTTTCCATTTCACTTTTCGGCTTGCTGTATAGACTGCTGCCGCACAGGCTGGCTAGATCGCTCTGTAAGTAAGGCTTTTCCATATTAAATACCCTTGTGTTTCTACCTGACTCCATATTGGTAATTTCCCTCTTTAAAACTCCTTGATTTCATTTAAAGCGGTAAAAGGACTTGTGAGTGAACTGTATGCCTGGCCCTCTGTTAGAAGCTGTAACTGAGTTTCCAAGTCTTTATCACTTGTAATGGGGCAAGATAACAAGTCTCTTGTACATTTGTCTTCATTTTGGCTCATGTTCATTGTGGGCTGTACCACCACGTGCATGGCATATTTCTCATGAGAATATAACATTCATTACCTCTAAAATAGGTAAGTGAGAGAAATAGTAAATCCTTGGCAGTGGAATTTTAAGGGAAATTAAATGTATATGGTTTTTAGTAGCAGTCCTAGGATGAGGTTTCAGCACATTCTTACTGAGCTGGGTTTAAGATATCACCTTAGGAATCTGGGATTAAAAGATGAAATAAATGGAGCCCTCACAAGAGCCTTACAATGGCTCCAGATATTGAAAAGTGAGAACATATATCCCAGAAAAGCAGGTTTTTAGTGCAGAAGTCTTTTAGGTTGACTGGGACTGAAAGTTTGTTCTAAGGCGATGAGGTATAATGTGTAAGGCAAAGAAAGAAGGCTCACACTGCTTTGTGTCAGTTAGAGAAGCAGGACTTGTCTTGGTATCTAGAGATCAAGCATGAAGATTCTATACCATGGAGTGAATACCTGCAGTAGAAATGGCAAACCATGAGCTATCTGCCGGTGGATTAGTAAGAAGAGGGAGGAGTGGTGGGAAAGGTGGACTAACTAGAGGGACCTAGAAAACTCTAGAAACATCTGGAGCACAAAGATTTGAATGAGAATGCCACATGCTTAGCTTGTCAGAGGCCAAGAGCAGTAAAGGGCTGGAGCATGGAGACAAGAGGTATTGAGTTTGACTGCATTACTAAGCTTGGTTTTCCAGATAAAGAAACCCTTTAGAAGTTACTGCATAGTAGATCTTATTTACATAGGGTATAAAACTGAGACTCTAGTGAGTTAACTGGGAAAATAAGCCAAATCAACAAACCAGACTTACTGTTAATTTTATTTTAGGGGAATTTCTTTATTAGGCTTTAGTTTTGTGAATTATTGCCTTCTTTTTCTGCTTTTGTGTTACTAGCCATGAGAAGAGACTTAGTTTAGATTCAAACCAGAAATAAATTTCAAAATCTAGACTGAGAGTGGTAATACCTAGGATATGCTATATATGAGTTACTGAAGTTTTATTCCTGAGAAATATTTACTGTAATTCACCTTTTTTTTATTTTTCATTATTCCTTGCTTAATCCTAATAAAGATGAGCTGGTATCAGAATATAGACAAGAAAGTCCACGTGGCAGTATATAGTTGTTTTTATTTGTAGAGGCAATTTTGAATTCTTGGGTTTTTGCCACGATATAAATAGCTTTTGTTGTCTTTTAGTTTTCCTCATATGAAGAGAGTTGGTATGAAAGCCACAGTTCCAAAGTAGGGGCATCCACCTTGAACCCTATTATGTATTGTGTTAGTTTCAAGAATCATTTGTGCCTATTGCTGGAGTTAACTACACCCTTTTAAAATAAGTGATAGCAAGTGTTGTGTTGCCTGTCTCTAATACCTGTATTCCCCCTTCTGAAGAGATAGATGTAGGAGGATCAGCAGTTCAAAGCCAGCCTGGGTTACTTGAGACTGTCTCAGAAAACCAAAACATGTCCCTAACCTACAAACGAGAAAAATGTTCAGAAAAGTCTTTAAGCTAATAGTAAAGTAGCGAGTGTACTGAGGCCTGTGTTGAGACATTCTCAGCAGTAAAAGCTAAGTCATTCAACTTGAATGAAATGCATTTTTTTTAAGTTTTTTTGAACACAAAATTACTTTCTGTTGAAAGTGACACATTATGTTTCATTTGGTAACTTTTTACAATACAGCTAGACACAGGATTTTAGGCACTTATAGTGATCTCTTTAATGACGAAAAAAATCACCATTTTATTTAAATGCATAATATTACTTTGAACTACCCAAGACAGTTTTAAAGTAGATGTTTACTAAGATCTTAAAATAATTACTCTGTATTGTTGTGGGAAAAACAACAACAAAAACTGCTGAAGTAGATCTTTGTCTTCTAAAGAAATTCTAAGTGTGCATTGTGTGTGTGTGTGTTGTACAGCAGAACTTTGTGTCCTGTGGGCCTCAAATGGCTCTCACTGAGCAGCAGCTCCTCAGTGCTGCCCTCCCAGCACCAAGTAGCTGCCATTTTATTTTCTCATTTCTGTAAGTTTAACTATTTTAAGTGCTTACTACAAGTAGAATTGTGCAATACTTGTTGTATTCCTGGCTCATTTTATCTAGGATAACATCCTCAAGTTTTATTCTCATTTTACTATATGGCAGAATTTCCTTCTTTTCTTCCTGAGACTAAATAAGAATCCATTGTATGTACACATCACTTAAAAAAAAACTCATTTGTTGAAATAATTTCTAGCTTTTGGTTTAATTATTGTAGCAAAATACAGGTATAGCCTTCACAATCTATGGTTTCCATTCTGTGTAGCCAACTGCAGTCTAAAATATTAAGTATAAAAATTCCAGAAATAAAGAATTCCTCAGTGTAAAACTGCATGGTGTTCTGAGTAGCAGTATGAATCCTCTCACCATTCTGCCGGGCCTGAGTGTTGTGTGAGTCATCCCATTGTCTGCAGGATCCATGCTGAGTACAGTACCTGCCCATCATTCACTGAGTTGGCATCTCTGTTGCCAGATCTACTGTCACAATATTACAATGCTTATGTTCCTGTGGCCCTGTGTTACTGAACCACCACCCAAAGCACAAAGCTAATAATGTAGACAATATGATGCGTCATAGAAAAGCTGTAGAGTGCTTCCTTTATATGAAAAGGTGATAAGATCTCTGGTCAGAATGAATTTACTATCTGTGATACTGTGAAGAAAGAAAAAGAAACTTGTGATAATATTGTAGTTGGATTTAAACATGGAAGCTATAATTCCAGCATGTAAGTGCTTAATTAAAACTGTAAAGGCCTTACCTTGTGGCTCAGTTTCATACAAATACCAGAGGCATTGTATTGGGAAGTACTTTTATATGCCTTACATTTTAAAGTCCAACATGCTTTTTTAAGTTGACTTCTGATGTTTGAGTAAGAAAACTCTGCATATTGACAACATCAGAGGATTAAGTGTCAGCATATTGATTGCTCTACATTGATGTTTAATGCTTTTAGCTAGTCTCTAAATTTGCATAAAAACAATTCTGGAGCTGGGCTTGATGATACACACCTGAAGCCCCAGCATGCCAAGCTTGAAATGGGGATTGTGAGTTCAAAGCCAGCTTGGAATACACAGCAAGACCCTGTTTCAAAACCAATGAAGCAAAAATTAAATAAAACAACTGAGGCATTTTTATGTTTTCTTCTTCAGTCTTACGCGATCTTCTAAAATGCTTGGAGAGATGAATATTTCTAAGATGTTAGACAGAGTTTTACCCTCTTTCTTCCTGTTTTAAACATTTTGAGCTTGGCTCAAGCTTCTTACTTGAGTGACACTAAACCTTTGTGTATTTTCATTGCTAAGTTTGAGGTTTGGGGTTATATTGTTGTTGAAGGGAGGTCTGAATTTTAATTAATAGCCTGTTAGAGGAAACTTTAAGCTTCTTTAGAGAAAACAGATCTTTTGAGACCAGGAGAAAAAATAAATCTGAATTTTGTACATGATGCTCCAATAACCTGAGCCAGAAACGCCACTGCTGCCAGCCCCACTGAGAACTCCTTTCACTCAGCACAGTGCTTGCTCATTTAGAGACCAAACATGCCTTCCTTTTTGAGAGAGCAGAATTACACTGTTGTTTTGAGTGGTGCTTCTGCATCATGGAACTTTAGTTTTCTGAGCTTCATTTGCCTGACTTACAAAGTGAACTAGTCCCTACTTGCCAGGATTGTTGTGAGGAGCAGAGAGAAAGATGTTCTGACACAGGCAGGGTGCACACACTGTATGCTACACTCCTTTTTTTGCCCAGGACCCTTACATGAGGGGGTTTGGGTTTTTGTTTTTAAATACTATTGAACTAATTTGTAGAGCTGATAATTCCCAAACAAAGAGGGAAATAATGATTAATAATATTATTAATCAGCTAAAGTTCCATAAGTATGGCTCTTTTCTTTTTTCATCTTAAAACTGGTTATAGTTTTAAAAATAGACAGATGATCCTATAAAAATTATGGATTATTCTCTTGATTTACAGAGTATTGTTACAGTCACATTTGAAGTACCAGGAAGTGCGAAGGAAGAGAGTCTAAATGTATTTATCCAGGTGAATGCAATTTTAACTGATTAATGATTCATCAACTGTTTGTTGCATAGTTGTTGCATTTGCAGTGGTTGGTCTTATGAAATTGTGTTGCCTGATACAGAATCTCCTGTGGGAAAAGAACATACAAAACAAGGACGGCCACTGCATGGAGGTCATACGGCTGAAGGTATAGTATGCAATTTGCCCTCACAGACTTTGGAGAGAGTATCCTTTTCTTGGCTGTTATATAAAAAACATATTTGATTTTAAACAAATAATAGTTTTAGTACAAATAACATTTGTCTGCCCTCATTTTCATAATTTCCATTGCTGAAAAGGAGCTTTAGAAATCACTATAAAAACAACAACAACAACAACAAATGATTTATTTGCACAGTTTTATTTAGTGCTTCAGCTAAAACAACCTGTGTGCCTGGGATGTTAGTCCAGATTTCCTCTGCCAGGTGTTCCCAGCAGTTGTCTGGCTCATAAACTTGACACTGTCAAAATTGTTCTTTCTGCATAGATTGGTCACTAAGAGAAATGGTTTATTTTTCCAAGAGAGCTTCATTTAACAGAAAAATAACATTGAAAATTCTGCTACTGCTGGACCTTATGTTACTTGATGCATTTAGCAGACACTATAAACATTTGTTATATTTTATATAAAGGCATAAAACACTGGAATTCTTGTTCAGTTTTTGGAAAGCTATTCATATCAGTTGACATTTAGATGTGTGTGTGTGTGTGTGTGTGTGTGTGTGTGCATTTTTGTTTGTCTGAATGTGGATGAGCACATAACACAATGTGCAGGTAGAAGTAAGGACAGTTTTGTGGGAGTCAGTTCTCTTCTACTGTGGTTTCTGGGAATTGAACTCAGTTGGTCAAATTTGAGAGGTAAGTGCCTTTACCTTTTGAGTCAGACACCTTGCCACTCCCACATTGAACTTTTATTCAGATGAATAGAGTAGCTTTGTATTTGATCATTGCCTAAATTTATTATATTTCTAAAACAGATTCATTAAGAAGATACCTTAACTTCTCAAGTTTTCATGTTAAGTTTATGAAAGAAGTACCAATCCCTTAAATGTAGAGAAATTAGTATGATATGGTGTGGTAACAGACTTGGTCACTTTCAGTTTTTTATTGTGATAAATAACATTGAAAAAGCCTACTATATTTTATCATTAGAAAAAGGAACCTTTGCTAGTCATGGTGATGCACAGTCAGGCAGGTGAATTTCTGCAAGTTCGAGGCCCTCCTGGCCTGCATAGCAAATTTAAAATAAGCTAGGGCTTCATAGTTAAGACCCTGTATCAAAAAACCAGAAAAGAGAAAGTAATTCTTTATTTTAAAGAAGTAGTCAGGCATTGTGGTGCATGCCTTTAATCCTAGCACTTGGGAGATAAAGACCAGCAGATTTCTGAGTTTGAAGCCAGCTTGGTCTATAGCAGGAGTTGTGGACCATCCAGAGCTACACAGAGAAACCCTGTCTTGTTTTAAAAAACTTAAGATATGCAGATAATCGAAATGGGTGATTTTTTTATAGCTTTGTTATGAGTTTGTCTTTTGAAAAGTAGCATTCTCAAATCTGATGTATTATTTCTGCTTGCACACTTGAGCTGGAGCTGAATGGTTACTGTTCTTTGAGCAGGGCCTGGTGTCCATCAAAGACAAACCACAGCAAATGATTCTGCAAGGCATCCATGAGCTGTACGAGCTGGAAGAGAGCCTAGTAAGCTGGAAGGATGATGCTGAGAGATCAAGTCAGCTGGTCTTTATTGGTAAGTAGCAAAAATTTCTGAAGGAAAATAACAAGAATAGGTTTGTAGGAGATATAATGTGTTAATTAACCAATATTACCTAAATAAACTTAAAATTTCTGAAGGAAAATAGAATAGGTTTGTAGGTGACATAGTGTGTTATTTAACCAGTATTAGCTACATAAACTTGTGCATTTGTCTGAATCACAGATAATATAAGATTTTCTAGAACTATGCTCTTCAGGTGACTTAGAAAAGTGATTACTTCAAGCACTAACTTGGATTGGAGGTTTAACTAGAAAGTTGTTGAAGGAATCATGTAGTTACTGTTGATTTTGTAGATCACTAGAGAGAGCACCATGCATTTAACAATCTGGAAATTCAAATGTTGTTTTAATAAGCCTCATGTAATCTCTATCTTGTTCTATTCTCAGGCAAGAATTTAGATAAGGATATTCTTAAAGAACTCTTCCTCTCTGCTGTGGTAGAAACAGAAGAGTTGAGGACAGCACCTGGCAAAGACCAAGTTTGTCCATCACACTAGATACCATTTCTTACCAAAAGAACTGATAAGAAAAACAAGGATCAGTTTTCTACTGGGTGTATTTTAATCCTGAATTCTTTCATTACCTCTCTTATGAGTTAGGAGTATACTTTATGATTATTTTATAAAATACATAAAGTTTTAGTAAATCATTATAAAAAACATTTGATATTCATACAATAAAATATGTCCTATGAAGTGTTTTCTGAGACAAGTATCTCATAAAAATTCCAGAATTTTCTTTGAAGTTTAAGCATAAATGCTGACAACTTATGCTTCATTATTTGTAAAAATGATGGCAAACTTTAACATTTTCATTTTCCCTTTAAACTTCAGATAACTGCAGAGACATAATGATTGTATTGATAGTAACAAAAATACCCAAACAAGTGCTGTCATTGTATTTTAAAAAATGTTTAACCTGTATTTTTATGCTATGTGCATGGGTGTTTTGCCTGCATGTATGTCTGTGCACCATGTGCATCCATTGTTGAGGAGTCCAGAAGAGGCCACTGGATCCTCTGGGACTGGAAGGTCCTCTGGAAGCAATCAGTGTTCTTAACCACTGAGCCATCTCTTTAGCCCTGTCACTATGTTTTTAATGGAATGAGTCTCTAGTTCCTAAAGAGGAAGAAATCTGAGTCAAAGAAATAAACTGTCTCTTACAATCAGTGTAATGATGCTTCAGCTCTTTGTTCTGTATTAGCTTAGAAGACTGTAATTGTGAAATGTTAAACTGTTGTTTTATTGCTGGCATTAAATTCATCTTGACTATTTTGAACTGTGTTAGTTTTCTGTATAATCTGAGAAGTAGTGAGGTACATTACATCTACTAACCATATATAGAGAGTGTGTGTGTGTGTGTGTGTGTGTGTGTGTGTGTGTGTATGAACACATGTAGTTCAGAGAACAACTTTTGAGTCAGTTCTCTCCCTCCAGCTTGTTTTGAGAGAGGTAACTTATTTTCACTACTGTGCTGTGCACACCAGCCTTGGGAACTTGCAGCCAATTCTCCTGTCTCTGCCTCCCATCTCACTGTAGAAGTGTCATTGCTGGGATTATAAACCCAAAACAAGCCTGAATTCTAGTTGCCAAAGGTTTATGGTAGGTACTTTTACCTGTAGCCCAGCCATCTTGCTGGCCTCAAAGATAACTTAAAAAATATATATATTTCTAAAATTTATGTATATGTATGCTCTCATATGTGAACATGTGTGTTGGTATCTGTGGAGACCTGAAAAAAAAGCATCAAAACCCCCTCAAGCTGGAGTAACATGCAGTTGTGAGTCGCTGTGCATACTGGCAACTGAATTCAGGTATTCTGCACATTAACAGTAAGAGTTCTTTATTTTTAATTATAAAGATCTTTTATTTGTGTTTCTTTCATGCATCATACTGTCGAGGAAGCAGTCCTGCATATGTGTCTGAAATGGCACAGTACCACACACATCGTTTAAAGGCAAAGCACTGCTGGAGGAACTGACCAGCTGTCCAAGTTTCTCAGACCTCAGGATCTTCTCAATTTACATTGGTTCTCAAAATCTGAAATACCATGTCCAAAAAATGACTAGGAGTGTGTTAGTCATAGTTCTCTAGAGCAGTGGTCCTCAACCTTCTAAGGCTGAGACCCTTTAATACAGTTCCTTGTGTTGTGCTGACCCCCAACCATAAAAATTTTTTCATAGCTACTTTGTAACTGTAATTTTGCTACTGTTATAAATTGTAATGTAAATATCTAATATGCAGGATCTCTGATATGCCACCCCTGTGAAAGGGTCTTTGACTACCATAAAGGTGCTTTGACCCACAGGTTGAGAACCACTGCTCTAGAGGCACAGAACTGAGAGAGCCAACAATGGCTGTCTCCTGACAAGAAGAATCCCGCAGTTGTTCAGTCTACAGGGTTGGATTCTCAGTTGGTCTTCAGTATATGTTGGGATTCCACAGAAGTAGGTCTAATACCAGCAAAGGAATGCCTAAGCAGCAGGATAGATGAACTTGCCAGAAAATGAGACCAAGCAGGCAAACAACAAAAGTTTCTTCCATGTCCTTTTATGTGGGCTGCCAATAGAAGGTGTGGCCCAGATTTAGGCTAGATCTGCTGACCTCAAAGGACCCAATCAAGAAAAATCCTTCACACCAATACCCAGCAGCTTGGGTTTTAGTTGATTGCAGATGCAGTCATGCTGACAAGCAAAATTAGCCATCACAGGGGGGTTGTAAAAAAACAGTCACTTTATTCAATATTACAGTTTTAGAAGTGGAGTACATTTCCTTTAAGAAATAAAAAAACTAGGAAGAAAATGCCGCTTAATGTAGTTGATTCTATGATAGTTGGTACAGAATAGATCATCAGGACAAGTGCTGTAATGAACTCTGATACCAAGGGATTCCGGTCTATGCTTTAATATGTCTGCTAAGTTGTTACCCGGTGCTGCTCTTACTCTGCTGTTCATCTTTCTCCACACTACACAAGGAAGTGGTTCAGCCTTTAAAACTTCATTAATAGGAGTAAATCCAGGATCCTTTGATTTCTTAAAAAGCACTCGCCCACCAGGTAACCTGGCAGTTTCATTCTCATGAATATTGTAACCATGAAGAAATTTAATAGGACACAGACAAAGCCAACGAAGAGAAGAAACCGATTAAGTTTTGAATATTTGGAGCATTGGCCCTGTCTAGGATGAGGTAACCTAACCCACCTTTGTCCTTTCATAATATATTGTCTTATTTACTCAGTGGTTTCTGGTGCCTGTGTTTATCAGACACTGAGCCAGCACTTGGAGATTCAGTAAGAAGATCATAGATTATTTCTCTAGTGATGTGCAATAAAGACACCACCAGGGCACATGCCGTCATGGTCAGTGGCATGTGCACCCAAGGTGGCTTCTTCCGCTTCAAGTTGGGGCATTGGAGCGCTAAGAAGTGAACTTGGTATAACTGAGTCTCCATGTCTGTGGTGGCAGGGCCAGTGCTATGGCCTCCAGCCTAGGAATAAAGAGTTCTTAATTGAAAAAAAAAAGTTCTTAATTGTCTAGCCAGGCCTCTAGCCTCAGATAACTTTTGATAGTTTGTAGCACAAGTTCTAGTAGGTCTTAATAAAAACAGGAAATCAGATATTAGGGGGTGAAAGCAGAGAGAAAAGCAGAGCAGCCAGCCACCAGTTCTTTTTTTTTTTTTTATCATTTTTTATTTGAATTACAAACAAGATTGAATTACATGACAATCCCAGTTCCCTTCTCCCTCCCTTCCTCCCCTACCACCCCCCCCAACTAAAACCCTACCTATCACATAGCCTTTCTTCTAATCTACACCTGACTCGACCTTTCTGCTCCCTCATGACCTTTGCGTCTTTCCTCTTCCCTTCTCATTCTTGTAGCTTCCTCCCCCCTCTTCCCATGCTCTCAATTTGCTCAGGGGATCGTGACCCTTTCCCCTTCTCCAGGGGACAAAGTCAGTCACCAGTTCTTACCTCTACAAAATCCTCAGACCAAATGGGGTATCCTGTCTCTACAAGTCCTCAGACAGAATGCTGTCTCTATGAAACCTCAGACTGCCTGCAATGAGCTCCCGTCTCCTACCTTATATTCCTCTCTTCACCCAGTCATATCATTCCTGTCTCCACCTCCCTACTGCTGGGATTAAAGGCATGTGATTCCAAGTGCTGGGATCACCTTTATGTGACCTCTGTTTCTCTTTTAGACAGATTCAGTCTTGTGTAGCCCAGGGTGGCCTTGAACTCACGGAGATCTGTCTGCCTCTGTCTCCTCGGATTATTAAAGGTGTGTGCCACCACTGCCTCTATGGCTAACTAGTGGTTTAGCTCTGCACTCTGATCTAAAGACAAGCTTTATTGTTAGATTACAAACAAAATATCACTACATTCAGTCTGAGGATTCATAGGGACAGGATGGCCCCTTTGGTCTCAGGACTCAGTAGAGGTAAGAGGTCTCTCTTGTGGCTGGTCCTTTACTTCTCTGACCTTTGAGCATTTACCCCAATATCTGACTCTGGGTTTTTATTACTAATACCTATTAGAACTTGTGCTACAATAGTTAGTGATTTTTATGTGTGTCTCTCTGGAATAATTCAGTTTTCTCCTATTCTTAGTAAAAGCCAAACCAGCATTTACTGCTCAGATTGTATAGGTGGAATATAATGAAGAGCTTTCCCAAACTAATGGTTGTTGAACACCATGCTATAAAAATAACTTGGGGGTTAGCCTAACCCCCAGAATTTAATTAATTAGGTTAATTAATTACTTTTGAGAAAGGGTCTGACTGTGTTAGCTAGACAGGCCTGGAACTCATGACCTTCCTGCCTCAGCCTCCCAAATGCTGAGTGGTTGTACTGGGTGCAAAGGGGAGACTAATTGATTGAGTGATCTCAGATAGATTATTACTGTTGTTTTCTTGTGGGCATATCAGTGAAGGAGAACCTGACCTTCTTTCACACTGATGTCGGTCTTGAAAGTTTTTCTTATCATTCACTTATCTCTGAAATACTTTCTCATTGTTCATGGTTTAGAAAATGCATTGTATTTTATGGCAATGAGCTTTTCAATAGAAAGTTAGCTAATATTTCACTCAGATATGGGCTTTAAGTTTATTCATAATAATATTTTTTAGGGCTGGAAAGATGGCTCAGAGGTTAAGAACACTGGCTGCTCTTCCAGAGGTCCTGAGTTCAATTCCCAGCAACCACATGGTGGCTCACAACCATCTGCACTGAAATCTGGTGCCCTCTTCTGTCCTGCAGGCATATATGAAGACAGAACACTGTATACATAATAAATCTTAAAAAAATACCTATAAAAATATCTTTAAATGCCACAATAATATTGCTTGGCAAATAATAAATTTTAAACGTATGTGTTCTGGAACACAAAGAGGAACTTGTTTGTATATCTTGTAGGGGATACTTTTTGAATTTTTACTTATTTATGTGGATGTGTGTATCTGTGTGTGTGTGTGTGTGTGTACACTGCCCATGCTGCCAAAATCCAGGATCCCCTGGAGCTGGAGTTAGAGGCAATTTGTGAGATGCTAGATGTGGGTGCTGGGAACCCATCAGGTCCTCTTCGAGAACAAGTGTTCTTAACCACGGAGCGCTCCCCAGCTGGTGATGCTCATAACAGCCTTTCTTCGTATGATGCATGTGTGTGCTTTGTCTTCAAGTGTTTCTCAGTGCACACATACATATAAAAATACCAGCTCTCCTCTTCATGCCATCACTCAGAAATCTTTCTGCTTATACATTGTTTGCAAAGTGAATTATTTTCTGGAGATCAGAGTCATAGTCTGATAGCCTCAGGGTTTTATTATTATTTATGTGGGTGTTCTATAAAATATACAGTTTAGGGTATTTCTATGACACTGCAAATAAACTTTATTCTTTAGTTGCTTTATAAGAATTCAGAATACAACATAGAATACATTCATGCTTGAAAAGTTTCTTGATTGCTCTCAAGTTTGCTTGGTTTCTATGCCTATACCATAATGGCATACAATGGATAAAGCCGGGTTCTCAAGCTGCATAGTCTGATGGAAGGGAAAACACAAATAAGAAAGTAGGAAGTAGAGCTAGGCCATCTGCTAAAAGTAAAGATCAGGTTTAGAAGGCATGGTCATGGAACACGACCCTGAGATTAAGAGTCTCCTGCTCTACCGACGGAGCTAGCCGGGCTGACCTCGGTATGGAAACCCGGACATGTGTTACATTGGGGTAGGGGTTTTGCATTTGTTTCCACAGGAGAAGAAAATCTTTGGATACCATCAAAAT